GGGCCTAAACTTATCACCAGGATTATGAAAAACAAGTCAGAGCTGGGAAGCCAGTACAGTGAGGTCCTGAGATCATCCCAGTGTGTGGTGCCTCCATAATCATAGTGGATATTTTTTGCTATTCTTGTTTTTTTTCAGTTAGAAATAAGTGGTGAATTTTAATGGAACAAAAAACTTTACTTGTAACTTTCTTTTTTCCTCATCAAAGAGAAAATGGGGGTTTCTGAGACGGTTGGAATTTCTTTGGTCTGTTATCTGTTGTTCTGGTATGGGATGATCAAATTTCACATTTCCAGGTTGCTAGGAGACAGGCAACCTATCTTGCAGATACAGGCATTATAACTCCTTTATTCTTCATTTCTTAGAATTCTGTATTTCTTAGAATTCTCATGATTACTTTCTAAAACCTAAATTATGCAGAGGTAACATGATTAGTTGACCAAGCTCGGGAAATAGAAAAAGGGGTCAAAAATATCAAGCTAGGTTTAAATAAAGAACATGAGTGGCTCCAGTAAATTAAGGCAACATTCTTGAAAAGTCTGTATTTGCGTCTTGGTTCTCTTTCGCTGCTTTTTGCAACATTCCCGAGGCACAAGAGTTGTTAGGTGGGAGGAGGCTGAGAATACCCCTGTCTGGAGAGCTGTAGATAATGTTGAAAATATTCCAGGCGAACCTGGCCCCAGGAACCCTATTTAAATTATTTACTGTTTTGGTTTCCCAGGAACGTTTGGCTTTACTGTAGCTATTTTGTCCATATGCTTTCCTTTGAAAGGAAAATTCATCTTATGTTACAGTACAGTTATTTTGGGAGTGCCTAAAGTTTAACATTAGATTACTAGGGTTCAAAAAAATGTGCCTAGATGGTAGATGTTGATGAAAACTTGGCAGAAGAATTCATTGGACATTGAATGATTTGCAGTGTTAATCAGAACAGTTTTGTTGGCTTCTGATTTTGAATAGTATAGGGATTCGAGACTGAGATGGTTCAAATTTGATTTCTACTTCATGCTGTGACACGTCAGGCTGTTTTTCTGTCTCAATTCAAGATAAAGTTCTTTCTAGCAGCTGGGTTAGAGGTATTTTACAGTTGGCTCTATATATCATTGCTGGTGTACAGCTAGGACCATGACCTCCAGGTCAGTTACACTAATAAATACTCTGTTAGTACTTTACAGATTGACTCCCATTCTTAGCCAGTTTGTCTCTTAAAGCTGTAGTCAATCTGTTGTCACACTGGAAAATTAAATCAAATGTCTTTCTTCTATAAAGAGGAGTTGGGTAGACTGTCTAGACTGGTGATGGCAGGAAGACACTTTCAGTGTGAGTTATCTAAGGTAACTAGAGCTGTAGATGGTCCAGTGAGAAAGTTGCCAAGATAGGGAAGAGGAAGATACATTGACAGAGGTTATATGTAGAATTAGGTAGAATTTTATGTTTTTATAAATATTTCAATTATTTAAGATACAATTTTTATGCACAAATTGAATATAATGGTAAACCTTGGTTTTGCTGTGATTTGTCTGTGTCTTAACAGATTGTTATTATTAGATTATTTTTCCAATTGAAAAATTGTACAAGTGGTAAATGTTCATTACAAAAAATTAGAACATATGTATAAGAAACAGAAAAAATCCCCTCCGATTGCATCTCCTGAGATAAACAGTGTAAAGTGTAGATGTTTATCATTATAGATCTTTCCACCACATGTTCGTCTTCCAAAACCAAAGTATATGATTCATAGGATTTGTTAAATTTAGCTTTTTTCATGCAGCAGTACAGCATGACTGTTCAAGTCATCGAATTTTCTTTATTTTCATTTTTGTGATTGCTTAGTAGTCCTTTGTGATGTGAACTGTAATTTATTTAATAAGTCTGCTATGATTGGTATTTAGATTGCTCTTAATTTTTTGCTGCAATAACATTTATATCTTCCTTTTTTGCCTCTGTCAGATTATTTTCCTAGGATAAATTCCTGGGAATA